AGTGAGGTGGTTTCGCTCCCTGAGGTACGACAGAGCGCAATCATATATGTTTTGTGTGAGATATGTTTAAGCGATGACTGCTGCTGACATCATCAAGGGAAGTGGTTTGGAGGAGTTACTGAGGCTGACAGTGTGGAGCAGCTGCTTTTACATCAGTAGAGATTCGTTAATAATGCTTCGCTGATCATGTCATTACAATTGCATGTGTTAATTCAGTCCTCTCACACACTGAACTCAGTAACAATTCCATGCAGCTTCTCTGATAATCCCACCAGCGCTCATTGTTTATTCAAGAATCAAATAGTGAATTATTACAATTAACATTTCATCCACACTGGTTGTGTTTTTGAGAGGGTGATATTGACAGAGATATCTCAAAACCTTTCAAAATATCCTGGAGACGAGAGCCGCTCCGCTTTGATGGAAAGGGAAAAAAAACTGATCCCTTGTCTTAATCGGGTGTGTAGCGAAACTCAATTCTCAGGGTTTAATTAAGAAACGGTATCATCTGTGCTTATTTCGAGAGCAGACTCTATGAGGAAGCACCTTCGCACCCTGTACAAACTGCATGAACAGTTTTATTCTCTTTATAAAATACCGCAAAGACCGTGATTTGAAAAAAAATACAATTAATAGAGATTACTTCCCTAATTGCAGCAAAAGTGAAATATACAATCACAGTTGCCTTTACTATGTACGCTGTGGGTTTGTCTGCACTGAACATCACCACCTGAGTGTGAAGAGCTGTTAGCAATCGGGGCCAAAATTTGTCAATGTTTTATATTATTTTTGGCTTGAATTTATAAACAAAAGAATCTGCAGGACGCACATAAAGCGAAGAATGAAATGTTATTATTCTAAAAGGGTTAGGATTTAACTGACTTAAGATGCAGATTAACAAGGCATGAGCGGATGGCGAAAGGTCATTTTGTGTGTGTGTGCGTGCGTGTGCGTGTATGTGTACGTGGGAGGAGAGAGCGGGGTTGGGGTGAGCGGTGGGGGGGGGGGTGGAATGGTGATGATATTAAGGTAACTTAGTACAACACTGCCATCTACAGATAAAATACAAATGAGTCAGAAATTAAAGAGAGTGCAAACGTAACATAACATGTTTGCAGAACAACCGCGGCAAAGGAAACAAAGCTACAATTACGTACACCTTTCAGTGGGAATCATCACTTTGTCTGCTTAAGACGTTTCCTTTTGACCACACTTTTTTGTCACCTTTTCCCCCCTCCTTCTTTAGCAAACCGCAAACCCCTCCCGCCTCCCCCCCACACGCACACACCCACCCACCCCCCCCCCCCCCCCAAACACGCACACCCCAAGCTTGGGGAGGGCAAGGGACGATTTCAATGTTTGTTTAAAACTAACTGAATCTAGAGAGCTGAATTTTAAGCAGAGCTATCTAAATGCAAGCTGCTGCTGTTGTTAGTGCGTAGCCGATGTATCAACCCAATTCCAAACCCTGTCTGAGGAACAGGGTCCAGAATCAAATCGACTCCCCCCCAAAAAAAATCCAATTTATACTGGACTTTTAGCATTGATTCAATTCAGAAACCACATTGCACTGGCACTCGCCGGGCAGCGTAAAAAAGGGCCTTAAGCTGTACACAAAGGTTCATATACTAAGTTCATCACATCAGGGCAAGTACCAAAGTGATAAGGCTGTGCAATCAATAATTCATGAAACAGATGGACAGTAATCTCTCTAATACACACTCATCTGGTGCTTCCTTACTGTAAGTAATTGTAACACAAAAACTGGAGACTAAACACCAAATTCAGCCCACTGTTTGCACATAGTTCAAATTACTTGCCAGGAGCTTTCTAATGGACTACACTGTAAATATATCAGTTTTCATTCGTGTACACATGTTGCTGTTCATGGATTGCCCTAAAAATGATACAGGTACAGAACCTGTCGGGCTAAATCATGGTGCCTCAGAAAATTGTTCACTTAAAAAAAGCTCTTTTTGTGTTCAGTAATTTCCTTAATGTGGCAAAATATAACAAATGTTTTAAATTCCTCAGACAATGCAATGGACAAATTAATGGATGTTGCTTTCAAGTATTCCAGGACGCTACATTTTCATTATTTAAAATGGGACAGTCCAGATAAAGAATAGTCATGGTTAAAGTCTGCAGAAAGTTTAAGTGCAAATTCAGTTTGGAGACCAAACATAGGGCTTTAATTGTTCACTGGTTCAGCTATTGGAGGCAAATTTCATCAATGCTTTGTTCTCTGATTGAGATTTTGTACCTAGAAATCTGATGGTCAAAATTACCAGCTTCTTTAAGATGCATTGTCAAACAACCTCAGGATTTAGTAACTCTAATAAATTCAGTGCTGTTTCCTAGTTTAGCTTCTTTCTACAGATAATCTAATTCAATTTAAGTTACTGACCCATTCGATGATTCTGTCTGGCACTTATTAAGTTGACTGTTTTTGACAGTGTTCGACAGCCCTGACTGAGCCAAGGTTTGACACGTCTGTCATCACTTACAATGATTCTTCAACTTTAGACAGAATATGTCAGTTCTGCTGCTGTTAGCTTTAAGTTTCCGGCCTTTGAGCTTGCAGTCGAGCCTGGCAATCCAGTAATGGGGGAGCCCTGCTTTGTCACAGGTGAGAAATGGAGGTCCCATTCGCTTTTCTAGGAAGACGTTAAAGATCCCATGATGCTATTTAAAAAAGAGTAGGGAATTTCTCCAGTTCACCAAATGACAGAATCGTCCTGACCTACATTCCTCCAGTTAAAAGTGGCCATTCATTTCATGGATGTTTGTGGGACGTTGCTGTACATCCATAAGATGGGTCTTAAAATTAACAACTGTGGCTTGGAGTTAGATGGATGAAGACCAAGTGTGGTTACAGGAGCTCACTTTACACAGGTAGCAGGACTATTAGACCAAGTGACATTTCAACCAAGCTCCAGGTATCAGATCACTGATATAATACGCTTCCAATGTCTATGAATGTGAGCATGAGAGAACATGAAAAACACACTTCCACCTCAGGCAGGTTGCCGCTCACATCCACATTCATGCTCCATTGGTTTCAATGGGAGAACAAAGTACTGATGAAACTTACCTCCAAATGACACAATCGTTTAACAATTAAAGCACTATCTTTGGACACAAAACTGCACTTGGGTTCAAACTTACTGCAGACTTTAACCAGAATCCTATAATTGCAATCCGTACATTTGATGTAGCACTGTGCACTTCAGGAGGAGGATGTCTCAAAGTGCTTCAAAGCATATACTGTAAAGCAGAACGTCTGTGTGTTTTGTGTGTGACCATGATTGAAAGAACTGAGAACTGTACCTCGAAAAAATCGGAATCCGATCATTTTTATATCAAAGTATCGCATTTTACTGGTAAACGTTTGAAGACGAATGGACGGAAAACATCTGTGGTTTAATTTCAGCGTGTATAAAGCCACAACAACATTGATTCCATCTGAATCAGTTGTAAATATCATTAATTGGCATAGAGATTCCACTCATCTCTATCTGATGCTTCATTACCAGTTTTCAATGTGAAATGTCACGGGGGGTGGGGGGTGTGGGGTGGGGGAAAGACAATATAGTCTTCATCAAAGATCAATGACCATGCAGTCAGATGCGGATGCCTAAGCCCATCAACAATTATAAGAGAAATTGCAGTGCTAATGCATTTAACCGTGGTTCAAACCGCAAAGCTGAGGTCATAGCAATATTGCTGACGTATCATTATTGGAGGGTAACAGTGTTAGTTTTTCCAGCAAAGAGAGGAAAGTCATTGTACCAAGTGCAGTGACCCCGTGTAAACCTTGGTCAGATTGATGTATTGAAAATAATACGGAGACCATCTGAATAACTGAATCTCTTAACTCCAGGATTTATAGTAAAAAAAATCTTTGCATTTGATATAACACCTTATCACCTCATCAAAATATCTCAAAGTGCTTCACAGAATTTTTGTTATCGAATCGGCTTCCAACAGCCTTTTAGGCAATACATTTCAGATCTAAACAACTCGCTGTGCGAAAAAATTTCCCCTCACCTTCCCTCTATTTCTTTTAGTAACTATTTTAAATCGATGCCCTCGGGTTATCGACCCACCCGCCAGTGAAAATAGCTTCTCCTTGTTCACCCCATTGAATCCCTTCATAATTTTGAAAACTTGTATTATGTCTCCTCTTAACCTTCTCTGCTCGAAGGAGAATAATCCTAGCTTCTCTAGCCTCTCCTCATAACATCATCGCACAGTAAAGAAGGGACCATCAGAGATCACTGCTACACAAGAGCTCTTTCTCTCTCTGGAGACGATCACAGACAGCACAGTATAAACTCCCACTTCCTCCTCTTAACATCTCCATAGGCTTGTGAAGCATCCATCCAGCGCTGTTGCTACTGTGAAGTGAGGGATTCACCTCTGATTAGTATAATCACCGATGCCAACCTCATGCAGATTACAACAGTGTTCAGCGGGGCAGCTAATTCAATACCTCCCAGCACATGATCTGATTCGGAGAGGCTCTCAGTGTAAACAAAACCCTGCGGGGGCACATTCAATTCAGGTCAGTCAGAACGGTGAAAGATGAATCTATGATTAATGGAAGAACAGTGTCTGAACATTGTATTATACGCCAGCAACAAACGCTGATACACACTGTGTAAGGGACTCACTGAAAGCGTATTTTTTTTAATACACGTTGTTGAGGTTATAGTGGCAAAGAATCTAGCTGTGGAGTTAACCCCGGTTCAAACCTCAGAGAGTTGACTTAGACCCCGATGACATGGGAGTGGATTGACTGCCAACAGTAGTGTGGCATTCCAACTGATATGATATGCAATCCTGTCATTCACACGAGAATGTTACAGGCTTTTATGCTACAGTTTGATATTAAAGTATACGTAAGTTCATAACATTATAAGTAAAACACGCCGCAAGAAACAATCCTATTTTCAAATCTTTTTTTTTATTTTTGTTTTCTCTCTGACACAGACGGGTAGATTTTTATGACACGGAAACTGAGAGAGTTTCACTTCAAAGCAAACTTATTTTGAGATGTCCAACACAAGAGGAGTGATGTACCAATGTACAACAGCCACTGGGTGCAGTGGAGTCAGTACTGTGCTAATACAGGTAATTACAATGTATTTTACGATGCTCATTGTAAAGCGTGAATGACTGGAAAGTATTTTGCTAAATATGAAGCTCTTAATCATCATTTGATACCAAACTTCTAAAAACATCTTGCGAGGATTGTTCCAGTCGGGAGAAATAAATGAATAATTTTCATGAATTAGCTAACTCTTTTGCATTTTGGAAATAACCTTGGACAAATTTTCTCACTCCCTTCGAAGGGCAGTGAGCCAGGATTAGATACATCTCATGGGCCCCCTCTGTGGTACCTCGCTAAAGAGGCCGTTTCTCAGACAGGAACCTGGACAATCAGTGTTGACAGGCTATTCAACCATAGCAATACCACAGCAAAGCCAGGGCTTGCGTGAATCTCACCTCCATCCACAATGTACTTTCAGCAAATGATCACGGTGAGAGCCCTGAAATTCCTGATAAATTGGACTCAGTTGAAATCGTCCCAGTAGCTCAGCCAAAACTGATCAGTTCAGCCCAGGCCGTGAATTGCTAATTAGACTCTTATGATCTGTGTGGCTTAGTGCCATACCACAAGATCACATAATGCATTCAGACAAAGCACTAAGGAGGGAGTCGGGGGCGAGGGAGGGAGAGAGGGCAGAATGAAAGGCTATAATTTGGATTTTAAAAGTTATTCAAACTTAATTAAGCTCACTTTAAATGCCATTTAATTAATCAATTTTCTGATAGATCCATGCCTTCCAATCATCCCAAGTACACAGAATTTAATTTGCGAAACTGACTTGACATTGGCAGGGAGATCCTTAGAAAATAGGTGCTGTCGTTTTAATCTATTAAAATGAAAGAGGATACAACTGACAAGTGAATATCATCTATCTATCTATCTATCTATCTATCTATCTATCTATCTATCTATCTATCTATCTATCTATCTATCTATCTATCTATCTATCTATCTATCTATCTATCTATCTATCTATCTATCTATCTATCTATCTATCTATCTACCTATTTATCAATCTATCTATCTATCTATCTACTATTATCTATCTATCTATCTATCTATCTATCTATCTATCTATCTATCTATCTATCTATCTATCTATCTATCTATCTATCTATCTATCTATCTATCTACTGTATATTTCAGTTTTAATTGGTAACTATAAAGCTAAGAGAATGTTTCACCTTAATAAATCTAGTTATAATGTCCTTTTCATGTCTGGATACTGTATTTGATCACTGGTAATATACAAGTGTGCTGTAGCGGGAGTCAGCATAGCAAGGTCAATTGAAGGACGAGGCTACTTCAAAGCCAGAGGGGCTCTCAAGAAGCCTTCAGCAGAGCTCTGTGGCTACATCTTTGGTTACAGACGGGAACTGTTTATGTAGCACCATATCTCAGTGGAGTTTGTCACATCAGAAAAACCCCAATTGCTCCAGTTTGTTCTCAACAGATCTTAACTCGAAGCAAGGCTGTAAACCAAATCTCTGAGTTACCTTGTAAATTGATTATTTCAACAAAATGTTTCTCTTCAACCGATTCAAGTCCACAAGCAATGTACACTCGATCTTCTCCAGGTGAAAAGACCCACAGGTAAACCTGAACCACACGTTTACATTGTGCAATAAATAATACTGAATCCACCCCCTGTTAAGACTGCAATATATTCTTAATAAAGGAAGTTATACAGTTAGAAAGTAAAGCAAAAGATTCCGATAGTTTGTTTTTACTCTTTTCAGACTGGCATGGAGCACATTATTCGAACAATCCAGCCAGCGGTCTCAAATTCCAACCGTGTGTGTGATATCTAACCTTCCTATGATTGATGATTGGCAGCGAGTGATTTATGGAAACTTTCACTTTCGGACGGTGATGTACCAGTTGCTGATATAATCTTCTTGTTAATGACTGCTTTTATAATAATAATAATAATAATAATCCTTGCATTTGATATAGCGCTTTTCACGTCGAGAGGGCGTCCCAAAGCGCTTCACAGAACACACTGTAAAGTGAATTGACTGTATATTTGTGGGCGAACGCGGCAGCCAATTGCGCACAGCAATGTCCCACAAACAGTCGTAGATTGAAAATGACCAATTTATTATTGTTTTTGGTTTTGGAGGGATTATTATTAGGCTCTGTGTGAAGTAAGGAAACTTTAAACCCAGAACTTCGAATAAGAAGCATCATTTGTTCTTTAAGAATATCCTTAGCAGATTTCTTGATCAGGGAATATATATATATTGTATCACATTAAACTTTGTGTTCAACTTCTCCATACTTTCAGTTACACTGAAGAGCTGGGGGTCAACATGGATAAACACTGCCCTCCTGTGGACGATGGTGAGCATTTCAATCATTGCCCTTTTTTCTCAGATATAATGCAAACAAAACACTTTTTTAACTTTAGAGACAGATGTTCCTGCCTTTCTACGCCGCTAAAGCACTAATCGTTCAACCAAAAAAGGAAAAATCGGCCACTGTTAACAATAATAACAACAATAATAATAATTACTTGCTGTTTGTGGGACAAAGGCTGCCGCATTCGCCCACAAAGTGCGCACACTTTACTGTAGATCGTGTGAAGCGCTTTGACATGTCTCACCGACATCCTATACCAAATGCAAGGATTGTTATAATAAGGATAATGTTTCAGAGTGCTGAATAATCCTTGCATTTGATACAGCCTTTAACATCATCTCAAAGTGTCAAAGGGATGACATCTCAAAGTGCTTCACAGGATTTACATAAAGTGCAGTGAGTCTCCATCTGCAGGTGAATATCAGCTTAAAAATTATGAATGTATCCCATTAACAACAATACTTGACATGTTCAAACCCCAGTTAATGTTTTCCATTTACCAACAATAATAACCCAGTTCATTTTCCCTTCTCTCTTCCATTCTGCGAACCTCACTGGATTTCCATACACCTCTTTACCACTGTCCCACCAGAATTTCTTTTGCTCGATCTCCATTCAAGACACAGGGAAATTTCCGTACCTAAGTGGCATACATATGCGGATCTCTCAGTCTGGTATGGATGCTCTTAAACACATTCCACATCAGAGTCCCAGCTGAGCAAAGAAAAAGTCACAGTATTCCACAGTCTGGCAATGTTCCATCAACCGAGTCTCTTCCTATGTGCTTTATGGTTGCCCCCGGAGCCGAACTTTCACCAACTCACAAGGGCTTTCAGCTTTCAGCTCACTTTTTTCAGTTCTGATGAAGGGTTTGGGGTAAACCATTAACTTGTGGGTCTGTCTCGGATGCTAATTTTTAACTTATCTGTAATTTGGTTATGCCTTCAATTAACTGTGACTGAAAGAACTCATTAGACCAATAATTGTTGACTGCAGGTTCATCTTTTCCGCGCATCGTACCTATTCCCTATGTGTAGTCTGTCTTTTTTGTGGAACGCTTTGAAAATGTTACAAACTGAGTGAACCGGAGCGAAAATTCGGCAAAGTTTAATTACTTTGCTTTCTCTGGAATCGTTTTGTAGTGGTTTAGCATTTAGCTCAATGTTGAGAGTTCCTTCTCAAGCCTTCAATGCTGTGAGCCATTTAGGCGAGTTACAGTTTGAGTGTAAGGGAGGAAATTAAGGGAGATCGCTCAAAACATGGAGGTAAGTGTTGCCAAGTGTCATTCAGGACAAATTGCTATGGAAACTGGATAAATTCCTCTTTGAGAGCAATATTGCCTGCATCTCTCAGTCCACTGACTGACAAGTCCTAATTTGTCAGGCAGATGCAGCGATTCGGAACATTTTTATATGTGGTACAAAATAATAGCAACGATAATCCTTACATTTGGTTGAAGCGCCTTTTCGTTGCAAATGTAAATTGTTGTTGTTTTCATATCGGAAGGATGTTCCATATCCTTCACCAGATACACTGTATTGTAAAGTGCAGTGACTGTGTGTTTTGCTACTTTGTTGAGATCAAAATGGCATGTTTCAACTTCCATCTTTGCTAAACAGCAACTTTCTGTAAAATGAACAGACATTGCATATGAATCTTGCCCTATATGGGCAATTGTTAATATACGATCACTGACTATATACACTATCATCTTCCTTTCTTAACTAAACGCTGTCCCATTCAGAAAAAAATCCTTCATAGAAAATCTAGGCTGCGATTTGAATCTCCTGTTAACGTCCATTTTCATCTATGGGATTTATCTTACATCTTTTAATGACATTTCCTGTATACAGTACAAGCCGGGCCTGTTGTTACTGGTGCACAAAATAGTTTTTAGCCGTCCAATTTTCATGGGGATTGATACAGCTCTGATGACACACAGCAGGATCTCATTAGCCGGGTGTAGTAATATCACGTTTCTTCCTTATTCCTGGGAGCAGCCAGTGTTCAGGTATTATTTATAAACCTCGTTGCCATATATATTAAAAAAGTGGCTTTATATTATCATTTTAACAGCGCCTGAGGCAAAGAGGACCCCATTGGTTTTAATTAGCAGTGATTTAGGTAAGCACCGTAGGGTGAACGGTGTTTTCTGTGGAAACGGTGCCATATCTGCACCTTACAAGCCTTCAGGCTGCCCAATTATTAACAGATCATTCCTGCATCAGTGATTTTCCAGGTCATCCTACTGCTCTCCACAACGGTTGAACTGGTTTGAAGGGAAGCAGTTTCTTCGAGGGTTTTTTATTCTCTTCAGTTTTAACTTTGCAGATGTCTGATTTTCTTTCGCTGCAGTATGATAGTTCCAACACCTTCCTTCGTGTTTGGTCCAGTTGTTATTTTTTAGCCGGTTATCATCTTGTCCGTTTTTCTTAATGAATGGAAAAGTCCATGTTTTGAGAATCTGTGCTGAAATGCCATCTAAAGCCATCGGTCTTCAAATGAAGGTGAGTGGCTGGCAACACTGGACTTATTTTTGTTAGTTATAATTCCCAACATTCACGCCAAGCTTTCTGAGCTGGTCACTGAGAATCGTCGAGAATTACAGCAATAGGTAACTAACTGCAAACTAGTCGAAGCGGATGATCCTAGGTCGGTGTGTAACTGGTGGCAGATCTCTGCTGAACTGAAAAGGTGACTTAGTCGCTGCTGTTTTGCCAACATCAAGCAGCTGTTTCTTGCCCTGTAAACCCTTTGAAAAGAATAATTGTTCACCATTCTCCCTCCGCACCTGAGTCTCTTTCTCTCACTCACGTAAGGTGCCGCACGACTCAGTAGCAATGTGTACTGCAGTTACGTTTAAACCTACAGGACTCATCGTGTACATAGGAAGCACTGCCTTTCGCTGTGAAAGAGCTTTGCAGGATCACTTCAGGCAGGTCCACCCACTAAATAATTAATCCAAATGTTATGCAGTCGCTGTATTGTCTAACCTCGCATTCGAATGTTAACATCAATTAAAGATCTGCAGTAAATAGTTCAAAAGTAAGAGTACAGAACTGCAAATGTGACCAAGCCGCAGCAACCATCACAAGGCAACGCCAGTCTTTTGGTTATTATTAATTTATAATTCTGAGGCGTGCTCTGTTCTGCATTGTTTAACTTGATTTTTTTTTTGTCTTACTCCCTCACCTATCCCTCCTGTCCTGAAGGCAGGCTCGTGCTGAGAATTTGTTCCGTCAGCGGTGTGCCACCCGAAGGGTTATAATAATAATAATAATAATAATCCTTGCATTTGATATAGCGCTTTTCACGTCGGGAGGACGTCCCAAAGCGCTTCACAGAACACACTGTAAAGTGAATTGACTGTATATTTGTGGGCGAACGCGGCAGCCAATTGCGCACAGCAATGTCCCACAAACAGTCGTAGGTTGAAAATGACCAATTTATTATTGTTTTTGGAGGGATTATTATTAGGTGTGTGGAGTAAGGAAACTTGCCCAAGGTTTCGCCCTCTGCCTGGGATTGAACTCAGGTCTCTCACTTGCAAAGCGAGTGCTCTAACCACTGAGCTACAGGACTCCACAAATATAATGTTATAATGTGATGTAACCCGTATAACAAATAATTATCATAATAATGGTTTTTCGTGCGGAAGCCTGAGGGTGTAAATATGAAACGCCGAGAATAGTTCAGGCTATCAATGTAATAACTTCCCCTTTATTTACCGTTGGGTTCTTTCCGAATGACAATCACTGTTCAGAGAGACGATACCTCCGCGGTTATCCTCGCTGTTTACCGGACTTCTTGCCGTGTGCAAAACCGACCGCCGCGTTTACCCTCACGACGCACGGTCACTGCGCTTTACGACAGTCAGTAAGGCGCTTGGAGGCATCCGCCTGACGTGAAAGGCGCTGCGTCAAATGTAAAGGATCATCATCATTATTATTATTATGATGAATTATGAATGGCTTAATCCCGGTACGCGGTGTCCGTTAAACCGTGCGCGTCGGGAAGCGCGAGCTCGACAGCGCCGTCCTTGCAGGAACTTTCGGGATCATCTCACTGATCCCAAGCCCCCCCCACCCCCACCCATGAACCCCCCCCCCCCCACCCACACACCCCCCACCCAAAAAAAACCACTTCATATACACAAGAGATTTTCAGTCCTGTACGTTTATTTAACTGCATTCACATTCCCAAACTCTCCCCCACACCCCTTTTTCCCCTCTTTTCCCCATTCAGTACAGGGTTCATTGTCATCCACAGAGGGGGGGGGGGGGGGGGGGGACCCCTGGATCTGAACCCCCACAAACCTCCCGCAGTTTGACGTGGGGTCGCTGTGGCGGAAATCATTTCCAGTTCCTTCGGTGACGTGAGGTCGGGGCGGTTTTGGGGGTTGTGCCTTCCGTACAGTCACTGCTTTTTATTCCGACGGACCGATTCGAAGGGGAGTCGGTGGTGTTAAGTACTGATAAAGCCCTTCACACACACCACAGCCACACAAACCCCCCACACACACACCCCCACACCACAGACACACCCACACACACACACCCCCACACAGACACACCCCCACACACACACACCCCACACACACACACCCCCACCCACGGGCTCCCCGGAGCTTCTTGACACGTACACACACAGCGCTCGGTCAGTCGCTCGCCTCCGCGCCTTCCTAACTTGCCGCGAGTCGTCCCGCCCCCCCCACGTCGGCCACGTCGTCCCTCTCCTCATTGGCTGGAGCGGCGCCGGGCAGCCTCGCGATAGGGCCCGCGCGCCTGTCAATCACCCGGCGTGTCACTGCCGGCTATCAGGGTAGGGTGCGCGCGCTGGTTACAGTGTAGCCGCTGTGAGTGAGTGAGTGAGTGAGTGTTGGGGTTTTTTTTGTGAATGGACAGCGACCGACAGTTCCCGCCTCTCGTGACAAAGGCACCTCTCAGCTCCTGCCTTAACCTCTCACTCCACTCACTCACTCAACTCACTCACAGTGTAATGTGTGTGTGTGTGTGTGAGAGAGAGAGAGAGAGAGGAAAAAGCTCCAAATCCCAATGGCTTCTTCCTCCTGAGCTCCTCTGTAAACCCCATCAAGAAGAGTTGAACTGAAACTGCACAGTTACAGCAGTTTGGGACAGGGAGGGGGAGGGGGAGGGGGAGGGGGGGGAATAAAAACCAACCAACAAAACCAAAAAAAAAAAGGACTGGACTGGGAATTTTGAGTCCCAACTGCTTTAACCAGAAGGACCTTTGCCCATCATCAGGTTCCGCCTGTGACTCGTTTGCATTTGCGCCCTGGATGGAGCATTACACCGGGCGGTGAGTGGAACAACAGCAGTTGCATTTATATTGCAATGACCTTTCAAGTGCCTTTCACATCGGAAGTGTTTTACTGAGACGCATCCCTTGTTTTTGGGGGGGTCGGGGAGGGCTGTTCGGAGAGGCGGTTGGTTTATCCCGGGGGTTTAACGTCGATGCTCTTCTGGGTTTGTCACCTTTAATTGACTAGTGAGTCACTTGTGTGGGTGTCAGCCATCCGACAAAGCGGTAGCGCTCTCGCCTCTTGAGTCTGTGGGGTTCGTGGGTTCGCGCCCCACATTGGGGCTCGGAATTGCATACTCTAAACTGACGCTTCAGTGGAGTGTTGGGGTGTGTTGTATTGTGGGAGGTGCCGTCCTTCGGATTTCGGCGCCTTGGGACGTCCTCCATATTCGGATGTAATGTTGTTGTTGTTGTTGTTCGGATGAAATGTTAAACTGAGGTCCCCGTTCAGCTGGATACTAAAAATGCCCTGGCGCTATTCGAAAAGAGTAGTGCGTTTCTCCCACTGACCTGGTCACTCACTCCATGGCTTGTTTGTGAGCCGTTGCTGTGTGCAAACTGGCTGCGGAGTGGCAAGAGATTCACCCGCAAAACTACACCGTCAATCCACTTTACAACTAAGCACTTTGAGACATCTTGACAATGTGATAATTTGGAGCTTTGGAGAAAAAGCTACAGCTTTGGAGAAAAAGGTTTTCTGTTAGGGAAGTTGCTATTCTGACTTGGGTCCTCCTTTTTCTCATCCACAGTTGTATCATAGTGCAAATCATAGAATAAATTAGATAGATTTCTGTTAGGAAGTAGGATCTTGGGATACAATATATAGTTTGGGACATGACATGGGCAAGTGACTGCCTGCATGGTGGAAGGCAAACTGGACGGATCTTGGCCGTCTTTCATCCAGCAATTCTTATGTTCTTACTTTATTGTTATTACTTTGTTGCTGGTTCTGTGAAATTCACCCCACAGATGAAAAGAAAAAAGGGCTTGGCGCATGAAGTTTTAGTTTTGGGTGGAACATTTGTGCGCATTAAGACAAAGAGGAATGTCTTTTCATCATTAATATCCAATGTCAACATTAAACAAGTCAGGTAGAACAAAGCAAACTCTTCATTGTGCACCTAAGTTCAACAACAACACAATTACATTTGTAAAGCGCCTTTCAAGTCGGGAGGATGTCCCAAGGTGCTGGACAGTCAGAGATTCGGACCCGAGCTGGGCGCTGCGATTGCGCAGGGTGGAGGGCGAGGGGGGGGGAAGCAGGGTGATCGAAAGCACGGTCAAAGAGGAGGGTCTTGAGATGGGACTTGAAAGGAGGCAAGGGAGGGGGCGAGGCGGAGGGACTGCGGAATGGAGTTCCAGAGGGTGGGGGTAGAGTGGCAAGAGGCCTGCCCGCCAATGGTGGGGTGAGTGAGACGGCGGACGTGAAGCAGGGCGGACCCTGCTGAGCGGAGGGAGCGAGCAGGATGGTAGGGGGTTAGGATGTCGCAGAGGTAGGGGGGAGCAAGGCCATGGAAAGCTTTGAAGGTGAAGACCAGGATCTTGAACTGTATATCCTCTGGGTGATGGGAAGCCAGTGGAGTCGGGAGAGGATAGGGGTGATGGGGTCACGGAGCCTGGTGCGGGAGAGGACACTGGCTGCAGAGTTCTGAATGATCTGCAGCCTGTGGAGGGAGGAGTTGGGGAGGGTGTTTGCATAGTCAAACCTCGATGCAATGAAAGCGCATATGAAGGTTTCGGCGGCCTGTGGTGTGAGACAATCACAGACCCGGGCAATGTTGCAGAGGTGGGGGAAGGCAGAGTGGATCATGGCACACATGGGGTAGAAAAGATAGTTGAGGGTCAAACAAGACGCCAAGGTGGACTGGCTTAGAAGGTGACGTGTACAACCATGAGATGGGTCCAGAGATGGGTCCAGAGATGTATCATGCACCAGTATGATTTTTTTTCCCCATTTCCCACTCCATCTATCTTTGTGTGCTTTCTGATTGTGCACTGCCAAACATCACACAGTGTTGCACTTCAGACAAGTGTCTTGGCTAGTGGAGTTATTGCACCTTGTCCCATTTGGATCTGAACCCTGGCCCCAGAGATGAAAGCATAGTTTTAGTTGGGCCACATTACCACAGATATTCTGATTACGTTTTTTTTCTGCATAGCAGTAGTAGAGGAGCATAACGTAAGATTCGTGAAGTGGAACCAGATTGATGCATTTTCCTAATATGTAAATATTATTGCTTGGAACTCAGTTATTGAAAATAGATAACAGTTGTTGCATGCGGTGTGTTCAAGCTGACACTTCTTGGGCAGCTGATGATGTATTGTTTAATGTAATTATTGTTTCTTGAAGCGTCAACTGAACAATGAACTACACAGGTCAACCATGATTGATGCCACTTTTAGGCTATGGGTCAGGATGGGACCTCAGTCATATTGTTAATGACTGACCTGCAGTGATTAAGACCCAGCCTACATTGAGGTGCTGGCGACTATACTACAGTTGCCTTCATTGTTCAGTGATGCTACTTTTGATTGACGTCATGAGGAATGTATGATGGAGTCATTGGATCTGGAGAACGTGACAAGGGAGAATCCAAAGTCAACGTGTGGATTGTCATGTCAGCCCACAGAGCACCTCAGTTTGAGAGGAGAAGAAAATTATCCGCATCAGTCTCCATCCACAGGAAAGTGTCCTGCGGCCAGTCGCAGACTCATTCCAGCGCAACTGCAAATTACACTGATGCTGTTGCTTGTACAGTGGGGATTGAAGAGGCAGACTGCCTGGGAGCTTTAAGGGAGTGCATGCAATTCACTCCTCACATGTTTATACCACATCGAGTTACTTCAGGGGTTCCAGACGAGCGAGTTGATCATGAAGCTGTTTTGTTCAGATTGTGTACTTCCCGGCTGGCAGCTGTGTTCCATCGGATCTCAGTAAGATCATTGGAATCGAAACTCATCGGAAGTTAATTGGGAAGCACCCTTCACCACAATCTGGTCATTTCTTTCTCAGATTGGATGTCGCTGAGCATGTTCCCATCACATTATTACACAGTGCATTTTCCTGGGCACAAGCGCATGCCCTTTACAATTGTTTTTTTTCTCTAAAAAGCAAAGGCTTACATAACCGCCCTTCAATAGATGTATTGCTTTGTGGTGCAGCCTGAGCTAGTCTTGATCACCAGAAGTAATTAATTTATTTGCTGTACCTATGATGTCGATGCTTAATCCACATAGGAAGATTTGCTGAGGTGGAGTGTGTTCGGCAGCTAATAAACTGCTCTTTGCAAGACCCGGAGCAATCTCAATGTGTGCATTGTGATCGAAATGAAAGTAAGGTTCACACAGCTGGACTGCACAACCACTCTTTGCAGCTACGATTTTTTTCTTGGCGGGAGAATGGTCCAATTGCATCAATCTTACCAGTGTCCAGAGAGGATACCGTTACTAACTGGCACCATGCACAATCTCAATAAACTAACTTTACCGTCTGCTATTAGTGAACATCTGATTGTAGGCTATTTTTCTGTCTCACCTGGTGTAATCTGGTAATAGCATGCGTTGTTTTCTTCCACCAGTTTTGTCATTTGTTAAGTCCCGTGTTTTGTGCTCTGTATGTTTGGACTCTGGGATAGAGAGTGATGGATTCAAGCCCCAAATTGAGACTTGACATTAAGATGATACCCCAGTACAGTGGTGCACGGAGGGAAGGAGGAAAGGGCTGCATTGTTGGAAGTATTGCCTGTACCTGGTTCACTTCTCTGATTCAAAGATAACTGGGAAGGCAAATCTTTTAAGAAAGCAAGAAAACATTTTCACCCAAAGAACTATTCATTGAGCACTGAAGTTAAATGAAGTAAAAGTAATTTAGCAAAGCTGTAATCTAATCTCTGGGTTTAGGTAATTGTAAATGCAACATAGGGCATCAGTGCAGCTTAATTAGTCATTGCTTTTTAACCACACATGATGGTTGTAGGTTGTAAAACATTGCACATTATTGTATATTTAGTTTAATCCCACCTATTTGACAGAGGCAGTGTGTGTCATGACCACATTCCATGTCTTGAGCACACAATGGCAAGATAATTCGCAGCCAAAATATCAATACTTCAGCTGTATTCAGTAGCAAGCAATACAGCATGGAAATAGGCCATAGTAGTTTGCCTTTGGCTTTCTAACTGTTCTGGCAATTTCTTCTTAATTCTGGAATACAGTAAGAGAAACATGCAATATTTGTTCAATATTTCCCAAACCTGCTGTTTTTACAGTTGTTTGTTTGATTACTGAATTTTCCCAGGATCACGCGACTTCTCATCCAATGCTTAACCAAGCCATATTGCCCGCCTCATTATATGCCTTCATAGGGAGCTACTTTGAATTGACCAGGACTCGATTCACGTTTAAAGTAAAAGATGGGAGCCAGAGAATAGAACGTTTCTGTTTGTCTGTGCTGAGACTGATTTACAGTGGGCTCTACAAGCTGAGTAACCTCATCATGTACAAATCATTGGAGTTCTTATCATTTTAGAATAACAGCACTGACTTTGGCTCGATTATCACAATGCAACCTGCATCCACTCTGAACAAATGCTGTGTGTTCCTTTGTCTATGACAGGTCTGAGTAGCATGATGAGACTGCGGGATGGGCCGAGAAAATCATTCCAGGCTCCCGTGGATGTCCACACTGCCCAGGACGGTCACACGTATTTATTTGGAAGCGACGAAGGGGTATCGGAAGAGTCGTCTAACGAAGATCAGGAAAATATTGAACTACGTCCCCGAGTCCGAGACTGTCAATGGGCCAGTACCATTGGGGAAAAGGTTGATTGTACGATGCTGTTTGTACGAGAGGTAGTGGATGGTGACAACCTCAATACGTTTGCTTTGCAGTACGGCTGTACGGTAAGTGCAGGTCAATTGAGACTGTGATCCGGGTACAGGCAGCCGAGTTAGTATCTCCCTTGGCCTTCAGCAGCAGCACAATTGGTGCCAAGTGATCTTTGCCATCTATTGTGTAATTGGTGAACAAATTCTGAGTGAACTGTAGTGAAGACTGCCCTTTAATCCTTTGACACCAGTTTATTAATCCCAATAGAAGATAACCGGAGTATTTTTGCATGTTTAAAAGCAGTAATTTATACAGTGAGGCCCAATTGTTAACCTGTACTTAAAGCTGCAGTGTCCTTAAAAGTAGTGTGTTCAGTAGTTTAACAGAAGAGAAGTACTCTGGTCTAAAATTACAGGTGTCAGAGCTGGGAAGATTAGTTATATCTTGAGTAGTGCCATGTGATGCAGTTGCTGACTGGTGTATGGATGCCCCCTTGATTGCCTTTGGCGATTGCTCAATTGCAAATTGGTTTTTGATTGCAAGCTTTATAAACAGCTCCAGCTGGTACACCGAATAGTAAATTTGTTTGAAAATGTATTATCAAATTTATGTTTGGAAATAAAACGTTTAAACGCAGTGAAGAAGTAAATATCTGCAGCTTCAGAAGCTGAGAATGACCCACTTGTGACTATCACTCATGAGTCAGCTTTAGTCACCGAGATGTTTAGCAAATCTTGGCAGTGTCAGTTACCTATCTCAACCAGCACAGATGCTTTGCTAAGCTGGAGCTGTTTTTAAAGAGCAATTTTCCACCTCCTCCCCGTTTAAAGCCTAGCTTAAGACTTTCCTTTTCCTACAACTGCTTTTGATCACCTTTGTCCCCTCGTCCTCAGCTTTGGGTTCCCGGTCAGCTCTGTGAACCACTTTGAGACATCCTTCCGATGTGAAATTGATTTAAATGTAAAATTGTTGTTGTAATGTTTTCATCGAGTGGATTTCCAATGGACTGGAGCTGATATTTCATTGTTGTGTTGAACAGGTAGCTGACCTTAAACGAGTGAACAATCTCATCCGAGATCAAGACTTTTTTGCCTTAAAATCCATAAAAATTCCCGTGAAAAGGCACAGCCTATTGACTGAAGCAAACGAAGAGGCAAAACGGAGACACTCTGCAATGAGAGGAAGCTCAAACTGTTTAGAGACATTTGCAACTGATAACTCAAAGATGGCCTTTAATGAATATTTTGAGGAAATGGACAAAGACCTCGAGAAGATCATCCAGTCCACAGACAACAATTTGGATGAGGTGATTTATCCTAAAACGGCCAACGAATTGTTTCCCAATCCAGCGTCTGCGAAAGAGCAACATCACGGAGCGGACTGGGGAATTGGATGGTGGAATGCGGTAGTAATAATGCTTTTGGTGGGCATTATCATTCCAGTATTTTATGTGGTTTACTTCAAAATGCAAGAGACCGACGATCCTAAGAACCCACCGCCTTTACCAGTGACACACACTTCAGAATGGCAAAACGCCACTTTAGCAATTCCGGCATAATTGAACAGAAAAACACTTTGGGAGGAATGATTGGTGATAGGTTGGGAAGTTGTGTGTCAATTGGTATTGAGCTTAATTTTCTTCCTTGATTAACGGCAATATAATTGGTTGAAACACTGAAAATAATTGATCGTAGATGGGTACAGATATATTCCCTGGACCAGTCCTGGGATTGCATATTGCAGTGCTAGACCTTAAGCACAAGTCTACCTACGTACGGTTAATGCAGTCCCTCATAGAAGATTGATCCAGCTTTCATCATAGCTTTTTATAATGCCAGTGCAGAACTAAAGTTGTAGTTTATTAACAAAAAAGGTTTAGTTAGTTTGCTGCAGTTTATCAGCAGCTAATTCCGAGGTTCCTTAACAGTTGTGCACTACTTTCCTAGTTGATTATGACTGTTGTCAGATCTTGGCTCCGAGCATTCATGGTGCCAAGCAAGGACTAATCAAACAAAGTGTAATTGATTTAGTAAAAAGGATCAGTGCTCGAATGTACTCTGGGATTTATTATAAAGTATTTGATAAATGAATGCACACTAATTTCACTTATGTCTAACATTGGATCTTGTAATAAGAGCAATTAATACCTCTAGTTTTATACATACAATCTTTCAAAACCTTGAATACTTTTTGTGGCATATGAACAAGGTTGCAGTGTTTTAAGTAAAATGAAAGACCGCATTACATTTGCACTGTCACTCACAAGACTTAATTAATGCTAAAGTTTCATGCAATAGTTTATTTTTTACACGTCAATGCGCCAACCTGTGCAAAACATTGGGTGATTGACCCATCTTAATATTAAATCTTTATTTTCTTATACTGGTCAATAACCCTATTTCAGCAAACTTTGTGGTATGTAACAAAAAGTTCTGTAGCCATGGTCAGCAGCTACAAGATTTCAAAGTGTTATTGGAAATGACCTTCTGTGATTTTTAAAGGGATAACCAGCTAATACTAACCTAAAATGTTCAGCTAACCAAGTAGGTGCCAAAGTAATTGCCGATGGTAAATCACGAGTGAAGAAAAATTAAAATAGCATAAAGAGTGCTTCAGAAAAAAATCATCCACCTGTTCACAAAGTGATTTATTGTATTCTTTACCATTGTTCCTTAATTGGTTCAGCAGTTTTTCTTACATCCACATTGTTACCTGGATTTTTTTTTACAGAATACAGTTCTTGCATTAAATTCATCTGTTGAAGAAAGTATTTTCATCTGTTGAGTTATTGAGGCTGTCAGATAGAAAATGCTAAGGTTCAGTTCCTGAACATTGATGATTTCAGCCTTTTCTTTCCATACCTTCAACAGGATAACGTTCAACCCTGTTATCATCCTAAATGTTTGCTAAAATGTTAACTACCAAATAAGCTTTCTTTATTGTCATTGATGAATTGTAGTTTGAAGTTTTAAAACTATTCATAGCACAAAGTGCAGTCATCACACCAGATGTGCACCTGCGGATTGAATTGAGTTAGCACGCACATCACAGGAAGATTCACACAGCAAGTACAACATCACCAGCAACTGTGTGATGCCCTAGAGAATGCCAAAACGGTAAGCATTGATGCCTAAACTATTACTGATCAGCACAGTGTTGACAGCATTGCTTTAATATATGTTTTCATCAGGTAACGATGTCCCTGTAATTATTTGGTGTTGAAAAATACCTTTGTAAAATGTGCTGAGTAAACTATATTCCCAAGGTGGCTGTTCACCAATCTTTTCAACACATATTGTCTGCCTTAGCTTGGCTCTTCCCTGTCAGTATTTACCATAGTAAAAGTTGAATTAAATTCTTTGACACAGAACTGTCAATATTGATTAATGTAGGTTCAAAATGTCCCTGCTTTAATTGGTACGACGTGAACTTTAAATCGCTGAGATATTTGCAAAGTGATGTAGAGTTGTGTCTGTCTTGTATTAAAATGTTGAAATTTAGGGCAATCAGACTTGTACGTGGGCTCAGAGTACATATGTAACCAAACAAATTAGCTCAGATAACTCTTTGCAATGGGAATTGTTCAGAACTAATTTCATATTGTTATGTTGCATCCATTACTGAATTTAATATGTCTGAATGTTTAGTATGGAAACCCAGAAATATATTTCAAGCACTTTTCTCCAGAGTTGCCTAAACCAAGGATATTGACGGATGCAGTTAATTTTGACGACCAACTAAATAACAAGTGACGAAACCACAAGTGGTGCTAGCTGGTTAGATTATTGCTTCAAACTGTCATGAATGTGTACATGTGTGTGAATGTTCGAATCTTTGGAAAAGTTTAGTTAAGGTTTTTCTATTTGTGATTCAGAAGACTGGTTTGTGGCTGCTACACTCTCCAGGATTGTTGAGCAGTTTCAACAGAGCTAAGGATGGACATTTTCACTACAAACCTCAGGGTGTCCAGACATCTGGTCTCAAAATGTCTGAATCCTATTAATGTACCCCATTCGCTCGTGTTTGTTTTCCTCTCGGGATCCTACACATCTTTGGGTCTTGCTTCAGAAGTTATACTGGTGATGCTGTCAGCTTTGCTATTCAGTTTTACTGTTCTTTAGCTCACAGTACGAGGTGTGGTTTCAGATTCTTGTGTCCACTATTCTGAGTTGTCTGGTTCCACCCAGCTCTGCCCTTCTCAGATTGTACTCGATGCTAATGAATTTGGCAGGTTTCCAGGCCATCAGAGTTGGTGAGTTCATATTGAGGTGTGATTCTTCCCATGATCTATCCTGAGCAGCATTCTCACTTCTAATTCAGAAGGTTGTGGGTTCAAGACATAAGTAACTATGTGCGAAGCACTTTGAGATGGGTCTTAAGTTATGAGGTGCAATTTAAAAAAGTTCTCCCTGAAGTGGTGTTCATGGATCGTGTTGGCAATCATATGTTGTAGACATGCATTCAAGAAGAAATATGATTTTAACTAAGGCATTGTGCACCTTTAGTTTGATTGTTAAACAGATGTGGATTGGTATCACACAGCTCCTGGAGGATTTCCAAAGTGGGCACTGGTGTAAAAAGGAACTTGAAACATAATGTTCTGCTACCCTTCAGGCAGGAGAGGAAAACAATTACCAGGAGAATATTAACTGCACCAAAATGCCAGCAACCTCAGTGCCATCAATGTATTTGAAGAGATCAGGCCTTAATAGGTTTCTGTTTCGCCTTTCCATAACCATTATTGAGAATCTGTACACGCAAGGTGAGCAATAGATTTATAAAATTATATTTGAACATCTCAATTACTGGAGATTAATTCCCTCCATCTGGCCAAAGAATGTATATTACATGCTCCTGGGATTTTTATATAATTAACTCTATTCTGCTCAAAAGCAATGACTGTATTATTGAAAATATGATTATTTCCCTGAACAGAATTTGAATATGGATTAGAAGTAACAAACTGATCTCTCCATTCAGCTAATGATTATAATTTTGGATCCCAACGTTTGTTCTTTTTATTCCTGCTGGTGACATTTAGAAGATGTTACTGCATCTAATATTACTGGCCAAATCTATTGCAGATTAAACATCCAACTAAAATACAACAACTTTGTGTTACTTTCTTAGATATTACAGCCTCAAGCTGATCGCCTAATAGATGGAGCTGATAAATAGTCTCAGTATCACAATGCTGAAATTCAAGTGCTGTTAATTGGGATGATATTGCTGAATGTTTCATTCCATTTTTCCAATAACCTTTAAATGGTACTCTTGGGGTCAAACTGCGCAGTTACAATGACAAGAAACGTTATTTAAAATGTTTGATTCCACTAAAAATTGCCTTAATAAATTCAGTGACATTATTGACTTCTTACCAAAATTGCTGAAAATTCATCAACCTAAAGATCTAATGAGTGACCTGTACAACACAATTTTATTAACTGGTACACCTGTAACTCATTAATAAAGCCTCTTTCTCGAATAAAAATGAGCCACTAGTTTTCTTCAGCTCGCTTATGGAATTTTGCCCATCAGTTATTCTGCTTTGAGATACAAATGAACTCCATTTAAATTAAGCTGTGTTCCTAACTGAGGTCTGAACACAGTCTCTACAGCACTATTCTCTACAAATTTGCTCCTGCAACAGTTCACAGCAATTTTTTTGGCCTTGGTCTACCCTTTTGTACTGTGACTTTCTCTCACACGCTGACATAGTGACACAACCCACAATCTAGCCAAGTGGTTTTGAACCCCATTATCCTCTTGGAGGAAATGGGCAACTTATTCTCATTGGATTACGAGGATTCACACAGAGCGTGGAAAATGACCCTACAAATGGTGAAGATCATAGCACACACAGAACGACGGATGGAATTTATCTCCACTGCCACCTACCTTTGTTTAGTCTCACAGAGATGATGCTTCTATCACATGCTGCTGCAGAAGACATCAATGGTTACAGTATTATGAGTAACAGAAGCAATATCAACCAATAGTGAAGAAATAGAGCTGATTTATTTGTGACAAAAATCAGAATTGCACACGAGAGGACTGAAGGCTGAGAAAACCTACTTTGTAAATTAGATCCAGAAGAGCTGAAGTGTTGCTCATACATTATATGGTGAACTGTATTCCAGGGGAAAACGTCTCCAGTAATTGTTTTTAAGAGCGATAAAGATAGTGACTTGCATTTTGAATTATTTGCCATCTTCCAAGAGAAATTATAATAATAATGCTTGCATTTGGTATAGTGCCACAGTATTCCTTGTAAAGTGTAGTGACTGTGCATTGAAAGGCAAACATGGCAGTTAGTTTGCACAATGCAATGTCCCACAAACAGTCTTGAAGTGAATGATCAATTTTTAAGTGGGGATTCTTGGCCATGTCACTGGGAGCAACTCCCTTCTCTTTTCAAATAGTGCAACGGGATCTTTAATGGCACCTCAGGTTAACATCTCGTCCGAAGGGCTGCCCCTCTTGACAATACGGTACTCCTCCAGCATTGCATTTGAATGTCAGCCAGGAATACAAGCTCAAAGTCCCACTGTGGGGCTTGAACCCACAAGCTTCGGATTCAAGAGTGCTCCCAACTGAGCCGGGCTAACTCCCTCGCAGGTGTCAGTGTTGATATTGCCAATGTGTTGCATCACTGGTTCATCTACACCAAGGTGTTCACTGATTAGAGTTTACATCGAATAATTGACATGAAGTCTCATTACACAGTAAAAGCCAATATCTTTACTTAAGTGAGTGCAGGGTACAAATTTTTACAACAATCTCTAGCATAACTGTTATCATCTGATAAAAAGTTCACGATCTTTGTATAATGAAGAAAAACAAACACATTGAGGGAAATTGCAGGTTAACTTAAAGTCTCATCAACATTTGTTTCATTGATGGCAACAAAGTCCAGCTTGTGCTGCCAACGGGCTTCGTTTAAACCGTGAACAGCTTTCTTCTTGTAACAATTACCAAATACATTTTTTTTTAAAAAACATTAAATATTTTGCAAAGCACTGTCTTACACAGCCAAGTGTAAAAAGTCTGTGCAAAGAAAACGTCATATTCCCTTTCTCTTTGCGTACTTTGTTTACTTTCCCACAAACGGCGTCCAGAGACAGGAAGTTTGCATTCTTATTTACTCTCTCTTGTGTGCAGATAAACATCACCTCTATATTTACACCTGTGGTCCACAGGCATTGTACATAGTGATTACCTTTATGCAACAGCATCTCTACACTAAATGAGAAGTTAACCTTAACCCTGCACACAGTACTCAATTTCCAAGATAGGTTAGGTAACAGAGATAGAGATGTGCAGTTTCAGATTTATTCCACATAGTCTTTCACTCACTCAACTGCCTATTTTAGTGGAGTCATAAAGAATGTACTTACGTTATTGGACTTTCACACTTGCAAATGAATTGCCACGATTCACGGTTACTAGTAAAAATATCCGACCTACAGTTTAATCTTTGGAAAATATAACGGATTGACTAAGCACCGAGTATTTTTCACATTCCCTTTTCCAGGTAGAATCTAAGTACCGCACTGCTGTATTTGCAGTGATCAACCGCGAGAGGAACTGTCACTGGAGAAATAGACCAAGTCAGATGCTCTACCTTCTATCTGGTGAAGACCTCATGTAAATATAACTCACAGCCTAGTGCTGGTAATGGTATCTGGACTGAGCCCCAGTTTGACTGATTCTTACTATCGAGAGCAAAAAAGGCATGAGCCCCAAGTTCAAAGGAGTTTAAATTAAAAAAAACACAAAGACAATTCACGTAACATCAATAAAGCTCTCTTGATGTCCACATAAAACTAGCAACTAATAGAAGCACGGTTCCAATGCTGAAGTGGCTATTGCTACTCATACAATTATGCAATATTAACTGATGCCCACTACTTAGAGCTTTGGGAACAAATGATGCCATCACATAAAGCGATTTGCACACAAGTAGATGCAGTAAATTTGAAGTAAACTTACCGAAATGTACAGAAATGTCGTATCCATGCATAAATCACTTAGTTTTCCTTTTCCCCTCCAGCACACTAGAGAAGACAGCTGCTTCGATGCAGTACTAAAGGAGTCTGTTCAGCAGTGAGTGAGCAAACCAGACCAATTGCTGCCATCTTGGTAGCATCTGCCTTATTTCATCAACCAAACGGCGAACACGTTTTCAGGCAGTGTCTGTTTTGTTTATTAATGTGTTGAAACAAGGCAAAAATTAAAGTCCGCGTGGGGGAAAAAATCTCTTTCTGGACTTAAAGAGCATGGTTTGTTCTCTGATGGGCAAGCCCAAAGTACAAACACTATCACAATAAAATGAGTTGAATCTACTCTCAAGATAAAGCAAGGAGTTATAATTTGTATGTCCTCGACAGTACAATTTTTCTACAGTGTTGTTTTAGCATAAAAGGTAGAATTACCCTGTTCAATGGAGGGAAACTGTACCCATATCCATTACTAAAAGAACCAAAGAGCGATTGGTAATGAGCATATCAATACATTTAACAAGATCACAAATGGTACAGACATTTTGTAACTGACTGAAGCTGACTGGCTAATATTACAATTTGCAATGCTAAAATAGAAGCAGGAACTCTGATTGCCAATGGCGCTCACGCAGTGATTGTGCTTTACTTTACAAAACTAATGGAACCAGTTATAAACGAGAGTTAAAAATTCATCCCGTTGTAAAGCTTTCTCTGTAAATCTTTCTCCAGCGTTTTCAATTTTGTTTCTGGGGAACTTTCGATCTGTTTTGGTTTTAGTGACTGATTATCTTCCGGCAGAACAGAATTTGTACTTCACATTGTGTCAGCCTCATAAGCACACTAAATCATGGGAAAGGTATCTTAAGTTACAAACACACAGCAGTGTGAGGAAAAAGGTTCCGAGGTGACGTCACCACAAACTATTGCAGTTTACACATCGACTTAGTTCCCATTTAAACTTCTTGTTTACAAAATAATTTCAATTTACTTTGATCATTCAATTACTTACCTAACATGTGATACGAACACAATACATGAAGGGAAGAAGTTTCAAAACAAAACAGGTTACTTCCCATTTGGGACCATCATCTATTCAGGTCAATGTTGTTCTCGAGTTTTAACATCAGTCCACTGAAGGCATAAAAATTGCACTGTAAGTATCCTCTATGTACAAGTAGGGCTAACCCTCCGATTGTCAAATCTCCTATTGCACTCACCACTGAACAATCCTTTTAAGAAACCTGCTATTTTGTTGTGTCTACACTTAAAGGTACTCACCCACGCTACACTCTTGCAGGTATTTTTACTTGCTCTTTTCTTTTTGTGAACCACAAATTTCTACTTACTGTCAGTGAATTATCACAAAAGGCAGTTTATATCAGAAAAGTGTAATTGAATAAAGCAGTGAAATTCCATCACAACAAGTCTACAATATAAGGAAATTGCTTTCAAGTTTGTGCATGACAAATATAACATCAGGGTTTTAGGGTCTGCTTTTTATATGTATAGTAAAAGCATTACCATACAGCACAGAAATAACAATTGTACACATTCACTGCCATAAAGGAAAATAAACTTTTACTACTTTCTGCGAATGCCATATAATAATTAAAACCCAAGGAAGTACAGCATATTAAACAAAATAGTAATTACCAGTGGATACTCTACTCATAAGGATCTTGCCCTGTCAAGTTGGCGATAATCCACAAAAATATACTTTCATCTGGTGAACGTACAACAGTACATTGTAGACTGACACCAAAGGTGATATATTTAAGATGCTATATACACAAACATTTGGCTCAAATTCTCTTTACATATAGATTAGCAAGTGTTCATGGCTTGTAAGATTCAGCCTGCATGTATAAAAGCAAAAACTAAGCCAAGATAAGGAGATAAAACCATACCTAGGAGAGCATCAACATGCAGCTTTGGCTTATATATAAATAATTTCATAGCTGAATGCGTTTTAAAATTATATAGTTTATATAGTCAGTGATAAGTATGGGTATTATGTTTCCTTTTAATAAAAATATACGTGATCTGGAATCAAATTTAGATTTCAGATATTAACATAAAAGAACTTTGACCAGATTCCAATTATAACTTAATATATTAAGTTTCTCTTAATGCTATATTTCATTAACAGTCTCCTCATTTCTCATGCGGGTAATTAATGCACGTCTCCAATTTACTTAATAAGTTGCATTGCCTTTTTTTTTACAACCGGTTTGCTTTGCACGTGCAGAAAAAACTGCTTGCATCAGCCCTACACTGTGCAATTTACAACTCTCCTTCAAGAATTGGATGCCCATGCCGAGTTCAGTATCGTAGATTTATTTTCTGTACAGTATTGCTCTCTTTGTTTCTTTCTACAGCTCCGACGCTACAAAGCAGAAAATTTAACTAGCCACACCATTTTTATACACACACGGGGACACTGCCAGGATTGACAACCGACTGTTTTGTTTCTGCAAGCATATGGTAGGGTTGAATATAAATTTTTTTTTTTTTTTTTTGCAAACCAGTATAAGATAACAGCTAATACAAATAAGTGCCAGACTGGGACAGTGACTAAAATTTAAATGTGGGCGACATCTGCAAATATACAATTAATTTGCACTGTAGAGTACCTGATTAACTTATACATTTTCCGTGCCCTTGTTTTAGATATGTTAAGGACAATTCTCTTGTAGCAAAAGAGAGTTTTACAAAACGGCAGTGAAGGGAGGGGCTTTATGTCACCCATGTGTCCATCCGCATGCGCTTCACAGATGGGCTTTCCCGGTCATCGGCGGAGGGTCTTGCGATTCCGAGGGGCGAGTGGAAGTCGCCCCTGGGGTCCTCGCGATCGCTTCCGTCGTACGAGCTGCTCGAGCTGCTCAGGCTGTCGACAGGCGAGCGCCCCGTGTCCTGCCGCGTGGGCTGCGGGAAGCCCGACGGTGTCATCCTGTCCCGTGGTGGCGAGATTGGCTCCGACTTGATGTTCACGTTCTGGTTGACGTTCACCGAAAGGTTCGAACCCTGAGATGACTGACTGTTAACTCTGCAGAGAATGGAACAAAAAGAAACACGCACACACACACACGCAAACGCACACACACACCCAAACACACACACACACACAAACACACGCAAACACATCCAAATACACACACACGCATGTGCGCAAACGTGCGCACACGCACAATGCACAAACACACGCACGCAAACGCACCAACACACGCACACATAGGCAAACACACGCAAACGCGCACACAAACGCACACACAAACACACACGCACACACACACAAAACAGGGTTAGATGAGGATGACAAAAACTAGCTACTCCTTCCCAAGAGAGGTTGGGATGAAGATGGCCCCATTTCACCTCACTCATATCCGGGCTGCTGTTCTGTAACACACCAAAACTCAAGTGTCAAGGGCAAACGTGTTGATGCGCTCAACTGAACAATTTAAAATGAAACCCATCAGATTTCTGATCAGTATCACACCATACAGTGCATTTACCCACTGCCCTGTCACAGGCACCTCAATAAGGGCAGTTTGAAAGTATTAGATAGTTTGCATTTACGTTTCCCTTCAAAGATAAACAACACGTCTGTGGCATCAAACCAGCTGAGCGATATGTAACTTACAGTAGTGAGCTGAGTGCCGCCGGTGCAAGATGGTGCTGTTGCCAAGCAGACATTGGCCCTAGTGACAATGTGCCTGGTGAATTGAATCCTGGTAGTATAGATAGGTCAGCGCTGGTTAGTGAATAATCTGCAAAGTAAAAATAAATGAGGGGAACAAAAATCAATATCTACATAGTTTCCTTTGGATTTGTACAATTCTGCACCTTGAAATGGTCAAGAACCTGAGAGGCACAAGACCAACAATTTAGCTTATGTTGTGCCTTTTCCATTCAGGCGCAGATGGCGTAGCCAAGCTCCGTTACAATTAAATAAAGTCCAATTTTCAGGCGGTCGCTGTTTGCTATCAAGGGTTCAAAGTGCACGAAAAATATTGTTCACCACAAATTTTCTAGCACCAGATTTTAACTTGACTGGTAAAGCCTGACCAGTCATGGTCAGAATAACTATTTTATCATCCGTCACTGTGTACCATATAATTTTTTTTTGACTTTTTTGTGAAAGGTAATGAATTAGAATCAATAACGTGAGTTTATTTACCAGTGTTGTATGCAGAGTACAGCAACCCTTGTGGTGGCAAACTTGGAGTAGTAACTGACACCACTGGAGTGGCGAGTGGCTGCGTCGATTGTGAACTGTTTATCCTCTGTGGATAGCACAATAGAGTATTTATATTTAACAGAAGAATACAAAAAAACATCAGGTCAAGTACTTGTGCAGAAAACCCCTTTATGACAGTATGTTATGGAATGCATGTCTACTTTTGTTCTTTACACAACTTATACTGATTTAGATTTAATATCGAAATAATCCTGCTGGGCTGTATAATTTGCAAGGATAGCTCACTTCGCAATTAAAATAAAGAGGCAATTTTTCATTCTATATGTTGCCGTGTATGTTGGTGGGGGGGGCGGAGAGAGAGCTAAACGGATGGAAATCAGTTACCAAAAATTCCACTGGGGAGGAGCAGAGTGGCTGAGATTTGTGATGGGATGCTGAGTGCAAACACGGAGGATACATCCCTTTTCTAAAATGAGCCCTCCTTGCAATTTGTATGAAAAATCAAACCCGCGTTCCAATTTTAGTTAGCTTTTAACAATTTTGCAAAACCGCTTTCAAGAGTTAAAAACAATAAGCCCATTGTGCAACGCTTAAGCAGAGAGTTGTGATAAGTTTGGGCCACACGGCTGTCCACCACACCAATTTGGCTCAGTTGGGCGAAGTCCTGCAATTCTCAACTTGGACACCAGGCGGGGTGCAGAAACAAAACCAGAAATGCTGCAAATTCACAACAGTTCACTGGGTATTTCAAAGAGTAAGATGGGTTTAACATTTGGAATGATCTCTTCATTGGGGCGGGTGGGTGGGGGGGGGGGGCAAGAAGAAGGAAAGAGGGAGGATGATCTAACCAACCCAAGTGAAAGGGCAGAAACCTTTTTGAGGGAGGAAATGAATTGAAAGCAATCCCTTGTTCTGAAATATAAAGGTTGAACAAATGAAAAACGTAAAATAGAAATATTAAAAAAGGTATCTTGTCAATATCGTTAAACACATATGCTTCGATATATGATTTATGGGGATTGGTAAATCAAATAATGCAGTTCTGTCAATGCAGTCTTTTTAATAATTATTTAGGTATCACAAACATCTAAACATGCAAAAGACCACTTGGGTATTATTGTAATGCACCTTGGAATTATTGTGCTTCACAATAACAGCCACTTCACATTAAGTTCACAGTTCTTCTGTCATGCACATGCTCATATCAATGAACCGCTACGAACAGGGGAAGACAAGACATCATATGAATCAAGAACACTGTCAATCTCAGTGAGGACCAAGGAAGGCAGTAAATACTACTTCACAGGTATTGTGCTGATCAACGATTCACAACTTTGGATTAACATCTCAGAATAAACAGGATGCCAACAGATACACAATAATTGGAAACGTTTGGTCACTGAGCCTGCACTGATATAACTAGTCATGGGTCATCACTAGAAAAGCATGGTCCCTTTAGGTTAGCGCAACTTAGTGCTCTAAACACAAGGGCAAAATTGTAATTAAGTTACTTAGCACAAAGAAAAAGAATTGTACGATGAAATCTGATGTAAGCCGGGGCAGGTTTGTGGGAGGAACTTGCACAACAATTTACTGGAGACTGAGTTGAGAATTTTAAAACCACTATTGTTGCAAGAGTTCCTGGCAGTGTTCTTGGTGGAAGAGCATTCCCCCCCCCCCCCCCCCCCCCAGGGGGTAGAGGTTATGTGGAGAACAGAAAACATTAGCAACAAACGGGGAGTCCAAAATATTACGTTTTGTATGACATAACAGAGATAGGTAAATCTAGTATTTTCTTAAAACTCCCAAGTATGCAAACGTTATACAACGTACTACAAATTGCAATCCCATCTTTTCTGCAAAATGAATATTAGTTCAAGCACATATGCAAATTATAAGCAGAGACAGTCTCCAAGGCCAACTTACCATTTCCAATTCATCCTCCTCTGACTGCAAGTAGCAGATATAAGAGAAACACACTGTTACCAGTGGAAAAGGCAATCCTGATCACCCTCCCTCATCAGTAGTCACCAAAACTACTGGAATCAGCAAGTTACATTGAAGGCCAGAATTGAGTTTTCACAATCTCAGAAGGATTAGCTCAAATGGTATACGGTTTTACTTATTTATAGCGGAAAGAAAATAATAAGTTACACGGTCCAGAATTTTCCTCAACCCTTCCTTCCGTTCCTCTCAAAGAAAGCCTTTTGTGCAACCGACTGCTAAAATTAAATGTCCACTGTGGCTCAAAATAGTTTTGCAACAGGCAAAATGCAATGCGATTGTACTGCCTCATTGTTACTGCCTCACTCACTGCCTCGTTGTTCTGGATCAACTCACCAGAGGTGGCATCATGACCTTGCTGGTTGGTGGGATCACCACGCGAAGGTCTGGTTTGCGACTGTTCATTCCAATGTTTCCACCAGGAGGCGGCGGTGACTTTGTAGGCATCACTTTGCCTAACACATTCCCACCTGTAGAGACCAGCAGGCCAGGAGAAGCTCGAGGGTTAATATAACCATTTCCTGAAAGTAATTTTCAAAAAAATAATTAAAACATTTATAGCCAATATTTGAACGCCAACATAGCCAAGCAGAGAGCTACTGCCAGCACAAACAGGTCAATCTGCATCATTGATTTGTTCCAATTAGCAGGACATAAATGGGAGATGAACACAGTGAAACAGAAGAGAACAGCAAACTAAGAGAGGTCCATTCTACAGAGACTTTAGTCAATACTATGGATTGTCTGGGGTTAGGACAATTGGTCTGTCTACCTGGACTATTTATTGGTTGTGCACTGGATCTCAATGTCTTGTTCGTCAAAAGCTGCTGCTCCTAGGCACATTGGACTAATATCAGACACGTATTTGTAATTGTATTTATAGGTTTGTGTGGAGTTTGTTATGTATTTTATTTGTTTTGCTTTTATAGTGGTAAACGGTAAAATCCTGCGCCTGAATCCTGTTTTTGTGCTTCATTTTTTTCTACCTCACAAGACAACTACATCTCGCAGTGAAGCATAGCGGTTGAGAATGTATCATCAGTATATGCTTCAGCATCCAATCCAGACATATTGTAAACAAAACGATTTTACACTTGCGTCAAAAGTCTGGCGTCACTTAGAAAAGGAATTCGCTTGTGTTTTTCGTCTTTTTAAACAAATGTTGGTTTTGGAATATTGTTGTTCAACAAAGATCATCCAACTCCAAGGCATCCTGATCTATGCCTGAAAGATCAGTAGGGTCTGAAATCTTTCTCAATGATTTAAGTGTGTGGGTTGGGTGGTGGGGAAACAAACACATGATTGGGAGACTTGCAACACTATCCTACTTTTAATTATTATCTGCATTCTCTCTTCATGGAAGTATTACACAACGCAAAACCTCAGAAGCAAAAGGTTTACATCTCTGCTCAGAGGTAATTAATCCTCCCATTGGAGTTCATGACAGGCTTTTAAAAATAAGCAAGCAAATTAGCAGAATAGGCTGTAGGCAAAATTAAGATCACCATTTATTTTCTGACTTGTCTTACTGTATTGTCACTTTAAGTGGGGAAAAAATAATTAAATGTAATAAAGAGTCATAGCAAATATAACTAAATAATAATTCTTGTAATAAGTCAGTTTGATTCAGTTTGATCACTTCGGATCAAAAGGTTGCAAGTTCAAGCCCCTCATCAAGGCATGAGCTCATAATCTAGGCTGGTAGTCTAGTGCAGTAATAATAATAATCGTTGTATTTGATATAGCGCTTTATCACATTGATTCCAACGGACCGAACATAACAGAGAGAGAGAGAGAGTGAGCGACACAGCAAGTGTCCTTTGGTCAGTTGATTTTAACTAACTGGTGACATGCTGGATACTAGATGTGTGTTTTGACAGGCAGCCTCTCGAAATGACATGGAGCAATTCTTCTTGCTTTGTAGCTGGCAGCTGTCAAAAATATTACATTTCCAGTATCAGCCTTCTGTCTTGGTTTGGTATATCTAGATGTAAAGGTTGTACTATCTTACAGTGGTTTTTAAAAAAAAGCTATTGAATGGTGTAATTGCTAGAAAAGGCAACATAAACTGGGTGGGACATAAATGGAATGACCACAAAATGAAGACTACATTTAGCAATTTTGAAGGAGCAACACCATGTTTAATTGTTATTAATTCTAATAAAAACAGCTACAATACATATGGGGCACATCTAACAGCATTAGCCTGTTCATTTTATTGGGACATCCGCCTGTCTGAATACATGCAGAAACTCATCCATGCATGCCACCTACACATGGAAATTCCTGTGTTTGGAATGGAATGTGTTCTCTCTCTCCTCGGAGCGATGGATCCTGCTTACTTAATTCTATAGAGTAGTAGGCACAGGCTTGAGACAAGGCTTGGGGACCCAAGAGTAGCTTTGCAGTACTGCTAAGAGCTTAAGCAGCTAAAACCACATCTATTGCAGAGGCAATTCTATTCATTAGTCCACAGCCTTAGTGCTAGTGAACAGTGGAGAACATAACAGGGCTGGCCACACATCCTTTGAAGGGTCTAACTGTTTAAAATTCACATGTTAGGAGGATATCCTAGAATGATAGAAATTTACAGCACAGAAGGCAGCCGTTCAGCTCTTTTAAGAACAATCCTTTTCATCTCAGTTATGATTGTTCAAAATGACATTATTTATCCAACCAGCATATGTTACTTTAAAACACTACAATCAAACTATAAATGTTTACAAATGAGCAACATAATGCCTTCCAGCGTAAAGCTACAGTGGATCCAATGGTGTTGTGATCAAATTACAACAAGAGGTTAATGCAAATTAAAATTTTCCTATGAAAGTAAGATCCGGATTTACAAAAGCATAACCCTAGATGCAGAGGAATCAACATCTGCTATCCAAAACCTCACTATGACTGGGAGAGATTTATTCTGACTTCCCCTTCCTCACTTGCAGCTGACCTGAGCAGTATTTGGTAACCACAATAGTTATGCAAAAAAAAATATTCACTGACTAAACAGCTGGGACATTTGGCTATCAAATCACGCACCCATTTTCCAGACTTCAACTTGTAGATGAAAACTACAGTACAATAATCAATTGCATTTATAAAGCACCCTCCGTGTAGAATAATCTCAGACCGCTTTGCAATGGCAGGCGGGAAGGAAGGGAAAAGGAGGTGACCATAGGTCAAAGAGGTGGGTTTTAATCATTAATGCCTCCCTTTACTCATTTCTTTTTTCATTGTGTGCGATTTGTTTGATAGAATATAGATAGTTCCTCTCCTTCGTAAAGTATTTAACACAATACACACTCTACTCCAACCTCGAGAACTTTCAAAGTAGATAACAAGTTCTGGCAAAGTGATCCAGAAAACGTTCAAACTGACATTCACTGCAATCATTCAAATCCATTAGGTTACACTAGCCAGGTTCCCTTCTTATTGACAATATAACCTTGGACATGCACTCTTACTCTCGTTCCTCTTGTCCCCACTTTATTTCTTACATAGTTGTTGTTAATACAACCAGGCATAGTTTTGCTGAAAAAATATCAAATGGTTCGGTAATGATGTAAGTCCAATATGTTGGTCAAGTCCAATAGTGTTGGCCGCTGGTTTTCACAATGACATATTGTCCTGATGTACTAACAGACATTTCAGCACAGGAGAAGTCCTTTCAACCCACCCATCAACCTGCACCATGAATTGGTGGGCTGTTGGCTTGCACTCCATGATCCCAAATGGTTATCCTAATGAGATTAAACATCTAAACAGCAGCCAAGCAATTAAGGTAAAATATAAAGGCAGTCACCCAGGGGTACTTTGGTGCAACTTCTAGTGTTTAGCTCAAGAGTGGGGTAAGCAGGTTGCTATCCGATCTCTCAGCCAAGAAAAATCAGAGAGCGAGTCTTCATTGGCCTGCTGTTCTGCACCTCCTAATGGCCATCTCATAACAGCATTGGTAGAGACACACAGCAGATTGCTCAACTGCATGTGGCAGGAAGACTGGGAATAAAATTTAAAAGGATTTGATGCTCTCAAAAAAAATCGAAAAAGGAAATCACATAATTCTACAATTAAATCATAACTATGCAAGCTGGTCAAGTTACTCCATTTCTGTCTCCCTTCGTGACCTTGCAGGTAATTTCATCTTTCGAAATCTATCATTAGTTTCCTTCTCAGTCTTCCACTCAATGTCTTCCCTGTGGGCGTTTCCTGTCTTGCCCATGCCAACATGACTGACTTCCTCAATCAAAATGTGTACTCTTACATTACACTCCGATACTCTCCCTTATTTCGCAACAAGGAAGCATCCACATATTATAAAGGTGCAACAGCCGTTACGAATAACTACACAATACAACTGTACCATGTCAGTGCCAAACCTACCTCAACAAAAGATTTTGTACAATTCTGGCAGTCCATGATCCATGACAAACAGCACAAAATACTCAATGATTTTATTATTATATTCAGGGAATGAAATAATGATTCCGTGGTGATTACAAAGGGTGTAAAGGTGCTATTCACCACTTTTGACAGGCAGAAGCAATCACATACACAAAGTGTAGCTTTATAAACAAAGCACATTTTAAAGAAACCTTGGTAAATATGTATTATCAAACCAGTGATTTTTTTTAAACCAGTGCTAATAATTTGACAAGCAAATAATGAAAATTAAAACGGGTGCTGTAGATAATAGATATTATAAAAGCTTAGCTCACAAGACCAATTCTGAAACCAATTTACTGAATTCTCAACACGTTTCTCCCTTTAAACTTATAACCTTCCTGGATTTCTCTAGAAAACTGACCATTTCCCAATAGCTTTGACAGCAAATGTAAAGCACGCCAAGAACGTGAAGCTGATATCCCTATGAGCATACTGAGCTCCTTCAAATCCTGCCGGCTCGCTCACCAGAAAGGCAAAAAACAACAGCTGATGATTCATCAGAGCCTCATTGGGGTCCCAGTCCCAGTACTCGTCCTTAATCTGCACCTGCTGTTCCACTTCACACAGCACAGAACAGGCACAGCGAGTTGGCAGGTTATTGTGTACCAGGAGGCTTAATGGTACGTACAGCATTGTCCAAATGTTTGATGGATGTTTTGAAATGCTGCTTGGCTTGTGCAATACTTGCAATACTCGTCTTCCCTCACGGAGCGGGCAACTGGGTAAAGCTCAATTTTGTGGTCAATTTTTCATTAGAGGAACAAACCAGTTTATAACCAACATTGGAATTTTTTATTTTAACCGTGTGGTAAAATTACATTTGACAAAATGTGTCAAATAGCTAAACAATTAGACTCGTAAAGGTCCCATCAGTTACATTGCAAATCACATTATTCTGGAGTTAATGAGGAACAACGATAACGTACAACACACCAGCTGCAATAGATTATGAGTTCTGTTGACAACCTGGCTCAGTTGGTAGCACTCTCGGGTAGAAGGTTGTGGGTTCAAGCTCCAAGTGAGGACATTGAACTCAGAGTGGAGGCTGACACTTCAATGGGCGTGTCGCAATAAACTAGGTTTTATTTGCCTGTTCAGGAGGATATTAAAGATCCCATGACACTATTTGAAAGGAGAAGGGAGGTTCTTCTGGTGTCCTGGCCAACAATTCTTATGAAAAAAAATTACTCATTTTATAAATGTTTGTGGGACATATCTGTGCACAAATTGGCTACTGCATTTGCCTACGAATAAAGAGTCACTGCACGTCACAACAATTCCCCGTGAAGAGTTTGAGACATTCCAAAGTAATAAGATCCTAATCAAATACAGGATTAAAGTACTTCACAGCTGAACTATGTTCGTAGTAATACTGGTTCCCTTTTTGACCTTGGATTTTTTTTCCTTAGTTACGAGTAGAATTAAATATATAACAGCAGCAACATTGGAATCAACCTGTGATGTTATTGCTACATCATCAGTTTAATTTACTTGTTGAAGCAGATTTTGAGTTCTCTTCTGTAGACAACAGACTGTTGGCTGTATTTCAAAGGCATATGGTTGGTTTCTACAGGAACAAAACTGGAGCCAAACATACAAATGGAATTTATATTCACCAAACAAGGCTAAGTATTCTCAGACTTTACTCTCCTGCTATTGCTGGTTTGAGAACACATTCCTTAAATATAGTCAATCTACCAGGACCAATATGTTACTGACTTAAGACAATACCATTTACTAAAATGTAATGTTGTGGTCCTGCAGTACTTGGAATTTAGATATAATCAAGTTGTAGTATTTCCATCAACTGCTACACATTCACAAAAGGTACCATCTTTTCGTAATTCCATTCTCATTGCATAATGCCTGTCCCCATCTTAATTGCTCAAATAATGTAAGGTGGTGATACCACCAAGTTCTACTCTAAAGGAGACACAGTGTTCTACCATGAGAAACTAGCCTGGAAAGACATTCAGATCATCAGCACTATATATGTTTGATACACCAGACGAACATTTATAAAAGCACAGCAGGTTAACCAACATCGGTTAGAAAAAGCCAGGTCACTGTGACCTTTCTTCAGATTGGAACAGTTGGACTAGAGAGGGCTCTTTATACTTTTTTGAGATGGGCAAATAGGAGCAGAGCAAGAATACAGACATTAGAAATAAATTTAAATTGTGTAACCAATGACCACATAGGCAGAGAATGCTAATAGGCCATTCCAGATTGAGGCATGTTGGAAAGGGAGTTGAAGGACTCTTATAGGAGTTATGCTAGATTTACATGCTTTTTTCTGCAATTTATCTCACCCATGTCCTTTTTTGTGTCTATGATTTATTGATGCTCTTTGTGGGGATTGCTGTGTGCATAGTAACCCCCACATCATTCTCCTACAAAATCTACAGTCACAACACTTCACAGTATATCATAAGAGTTTTGACACGTCTTCCTGATGTGAAAGAGGCTATTATCAAATTTAAGAATTATTATGCATTATTAATGACTGTTTACCTGACTCCCACAGATTGGCTATGTACTAAGACCAACTCTTTCAAGCGTTTCACAAGCTATTAAAGACACATTAGATGCCTGTACATATGCAGTTTGTGATTTCACATTTTGTTTAAAAACTTCAGTTTTTTTTTGTTTCTGTATACTGGTCTTAGGTATCTCTTATGTATTTGCCTCCATCTTTAAAAAGGTTGCATCTCAAATACGATCCTATTTTTCTTGTGCAGATTTTGTCTGATCCATTATGCCTTTCCAGGATTTTATGTTTTATTTCACTTTTAACAATTAACAGTTTTTCTTTTTATTCCTACCAAGTAATTAAGCACCTAGTGCTGGATTTCAATTGCAAGCTTGTTGAGGATTGTGCTAGTTGTCATGCTTTATTATCAAGTCACACTAGCATTGACTTGCTTTGGCTCAAGTCTATTTCAGATGTCAATGGTGAACTGAGTCTGTTGACCGGGAATTTATGTCATGCAGCATGGTCTCAGGTGTCAGATGCTCTTGTCAGGTGAGCCTGTTCTCTCTCGTATCTGGTTTCCCAAGTCAGCACAGCTGAACCAACATGACTTTTACTGAATCGCAGGCTTTCAAAATGTCTTGGGTCCAATCAGTTGTGTACACTGGGCTCTCAAACCAATTTCCCACAATGAGGAATCCCTCAGAAAACAGGGTTTGGCATAAAAAAGTTATCTGGGGGAATGCCAAATATAAAAAGAATTTCGACAATCCCACTTTATACTTTCTCCCTACCAGTGAAATTTTTTTTGTGGTTATTCCTGGTAAGATGTTTCACTTGCAAAACTGCACTCCCTGATGTGGCTGAAGAAAACTCTGATATTGCAGCTACAATTCTTTTCTATTGTTGGGTACCATATTGGTGGAAAAAAATGTGGCAAATAGCTTGGAGCTGACAATAGGAGTTTTACACTGCCTGGAACGAAGCCCTTTCAGTTCTTGGCAGTTTGTTAATGTGAAGAAGGAAGCGTGATTTATACTTCCTGTTCTACATCACTTTCAGACAAGCAGACAAAAAAAGTGGATGTTCGCTCAATTTTTTAAAACAAAATCCTGCTTACAACAAAATGGATCAGATTTTCATTGAAACTCCATGACAAGCCAATTGCATGAATTTATTCTAAAAGGAACCACATCCCTAGAAAACGCTTCAAGTGGAATGCTATTTTATGCCATCTTTGCTTGTTTGTGAAAAGTTGAATAAATCAATGAATCACTGAACAGGTTTGCATATTTACTATGAGCTACAGGTTTAAAGGAAAACCAAACCTTATGAATTCTATTGTGATTGTAAACACTGCAATGCAAGGACAATGTATACTACGTTAACTATGTGACTAAAAATAAAAGTTCCATACAAGTACGAACAATTTGCTAGAGCCAAAGACGCTTAAAATTTTGTGATTTTAAATTATCACGTAATCAAGGTAACACGTTAGTGTTCACAGAATGGTAGGTAGACAGCGCCAGATTTAATTCTTAGCTTCAACTGGGAGCAGGGAGATAAAAAATTTTGACAGAACTAATATTGCGTTATTAGAAGTCTCATCTTGTATTATGTCTATGGCAGATTTCTTGCTTACCCACTGGGCTGGTGCTGGCACCATTTGGCAATGTGAGCTCGCCAACCATCATGACACCTGAAATAAGACCAATAAACAGAAGAGGTTCAACTTTACAATAAAGGCCAGACAATTTTAATTTATTTTGATGGTTCAAATAAATAACATAATAATAATCGTTGCACTTGATACAGCGTATTATCACGTCTTCGAGACATCTCAAAGCGCTTCACAGCATATACTGTAAAGTGAATTGATTCTATTTCGTGGGCGAAATGTCCACTAAATAAAAAGGTTAACTTTTTGAAATGAGGCCTTAAATCCTTTAACTATTCCACATTGCACCCTATCTATTGTAAAGGACAGACTGCGGTACAAATCTTCACGACTAATATAGAGAATAAAAATGCAACTAGGTCACAAAAATAACCCATTTATCGTATTTTTCTAATTAACACGGCCCCTTAAAATGTTTTTACCACTCTATCACAATAAATTAATCACAATAATTATCAATACCTGCATTACCAGTACTCTGTGGTCTCTGCGGAATACCCGGCGATACAACATTTCTGTGCAGCGTAACTTGAGGTGGCGAAAGCATGCTGGTGTCTGTTAGCGATGAGGTTACCAACGAATGAGTTACTAAGCCTCCCTGGTTGCTGTATGTTAGGGTGTTGGGGTTGGACACAGGAACTGCAACAGGCATTGCAAAGTTTTGTGGTGGCAAACCAGGCTGAAAATAAAACAATTGCAACATTTCGTTATCAAGATATTTAATACACACTTTTTTTTAAAAAAACAATTGTCATTTCATAAAGTTATCACTATATACAATTGATGAATATAGAATTGTTTCCAGTGTTGAATAAGGCTAATTTTACTGCACAAATTGACTTTGCATAGAAAATATTAAATTATTGCATTAATTAATTCACCGAATTAGTATTTATATGCACGTCACCCACTATGTACAGAGAATCAACAACATGAACACGGCTACACATTTGTTTTCGAACATGCCATTACTTCAAAACAATTCCATCACACCCACCAAAGCAGAGTTTAAAAATTACAATAAAAACATTTCTGATGTATTGGTTATCTAAATTGGTAGTAAAAAATACATTTTGCTATAGTTTTGCCAGCATTAAAACCATGCATCTGGATTAAACAATTCTTGAAAACAGAAAGGTTATGGCTTGAAAATAAAACTGAGAAATCTTATGCAACTAATGAATATTTGCAGATTTAGGAGTTCTTGAGTATATTAGAAAACGGAAATGAAGGTAGCATGTAAAGTTACAGTTATGCACTTAATACAATATTGCAATTCTTTACAATGCATGTTAGCAAATTTCACAAACCAAGACAAAGTTGAAAAGGACACAACATCTGACAGGCAACTTCAGTTAAATTCCGTAATAATACACAGATAAAATGGGCACGTGGCAAGCAAATATTGCTCAGCTCTTGTGGAGGACATCAAAAATTGAGTCTAAACATTGGCAAAGGGATTGACTAGTAATGACTCAGTGGGAAATTCTGCCGGTAACCTCCACCTAGGTCACAGCTGACTCAAAGGATTCCCAATGCAAAGCACTACCGATAAATGTGTTTTTCACACATTAGCACAGACATAAATGGCAAGTATACTGGCAAGAGTAAATTCCATTGCTAGCCACCACATTTTTTGACTCCATTATAAAGTTTTAGGCAAATTTGGTGCGGGTATCTTGTTTTTAAAAATAAGACTCGCGTAGGAAGGTCATTATTAATAACAAAATAGTGAACAGTAAACAAACACGCGGTCTTGGAAGATTAGAAATACAGTTTTCAAAACAAATGGTGATTTTAATATGGTGGAAAGCAATTTGAATAGAATTTGCCTCACAATTGCAAAATTGTGCCATTGCATTTGGAGTTGGAATAAGTTTGATGGTTTCAAAATGGATATTGACTGCCCTGTGTCATATGCTGTCAGCGTCAAATGTACGTCATGGGATTATTTCCACACAATTTATCCAAACATAACAAAGTAGTTTCTGCACATTTTCTTCCACCACCTCAGCAATAGCAGGATTCATAGCTTTACAGAGTTCATAATTCAGGGCATTTTATTTTGTTATACGTGAAAATGCAACAGCAATTCAAAAGGCGAGCATACAGCTGAAGGATCATGTACAGTATAAACACTGGCATGGACAAGTTAGGTTGAATTGCCTGTGCTGTAGTAATTCTATATAATTCTATTTGTCCAATGCATTTAACACTATCAAACACTATTCTTGCTGTGTGGAGGAATAGATTTAAGCTTTACGAAACAATAAGTTTTTTAAAAAAATTGGTTAATAAAAATTTGCCAATTGCCCAGACGACTATTAGGGGGTAAAAATGTTTTTCCCATTTCAAAGATTCATAAACTTGCTTGTGCTATGAAATTTGCAACTGCCGTGGGGAAATGTGATGGGTTTTGCAAATGTAAAGAATATAACAAGAGTTTGAGGAAAAACAATCTTGGCACAACACATCATGCATTAACTACTCACATTAATGTACCTACTGTAATTTCATACATCAGATTGCAGGTACAGTAAGATACCGCGTGGTAATAATGATTGTAGAGAGGGAAAATTATCGTAAAGCTGTAGGAGTGCAATGGTGAAATTGCACAGTACGAGAGGAACAATTCATTCTTGCCGAAGTAATTAATGTGGGTTAGTTGTGAATTAGCTCATGAGATTAGGTGCCTTTTTTTTGTAAATTAGCTCCTTTTTTTTAATTCCTTCACAGCATGTTCAGTTGCTCCATGCAGCCTTCTTCAATCAAGAGGCAGCCAAATGGTTTCAAGGAAATTAAAATCTCGAGCAAAATTACCACGGGCCAAGACGTACTTACTGCGAGTTTGTGATTCCGCATCATGTTATCAAACTCTTCGTTTATTTTTTTATATTTTTCCTCTGTGTGTGGGGTGAGCACGTATGATGAATCAGGCTCTGGACTGTCGCAGCCTCTGTGTTCTTTCTTGTTAAGAGCCTAGCAGATTTAAAGAACCAACACAAAAAAATACCAGATGAAGGTACTTACACCATATCGCTTGAACATTACATCATTATCTTCATTAAGCTTTCTGTATTTGTCTTCCATGAGTGGACTGTGCTCAAATGAATCATCTGCGTCTGGACTATCACAGTCATTAATTCCTTTCTTTCTTAAAGTCTGAAATACAATTGGAAAATTCACACAAGACTACAAACTTGCTATGACAATGACTATTTTTAATAAAAAAAAGTTATAAAAATCACATCTTGTATTCTGAGCCTTCCCCACTGGCTTCCAAATATCTTATTTTTTTTAAACAAATCTGTAAACTACATTAGAAAGTTTGCACCAATGGCAAACAAAGACTATGAGTCCAATATAACAAACATCCCCAATCTTTTTCTTTAAAAGATTTACACTTAGGGTTTATTTACTCAAAATCTGTAAATGTAAATATGTATATTTCAGTGCAGTTAATATAAAAATTGCATTTCACTTTCATTCCCTATTTCATTAAATACATCAAATTATAGGAAGAGAAATGATCCAGTCTTGCTTTTCATACACAAATCTGCAGGACTTGATGCACACTTGAAGGATTTTGTTTTCATACACGTTTAACATAATCTGACAAAGTATGGAAATGTCACAACAACAAAAACATGCATCGATTTGCACGATAGTAATATGTCGTTAGAGGTCAGCACGCCACACCATGTAGATTAGGAGGATGAACATGTATCCACGTGGTCAGATCCCCCTCTCAACCAGTTACCGGGATTTTCCGCATTAGAGAAGCTGCGGAGTAAATAGTGCGGCACTCTGCAGAGTGGCAGCCCACTGTCACTTCGCACAGTTATGCTCCTCCCCTCTTACCATCATCACCTGTGCAAACTAAACCGTGTGTCAGTCAAAGGCTCCAGTGCCCACAGCAAGCGCCAAAATTAAATCTCATGAAAAGAGAGGTTGTACTTTCCCACGAACAAGAAACTCAATTGGCTTTCCAAGAACTTGCATGCTAAACTCAAGTTTTCCTTACGACTGCAACCGCCATCCGGTTATGTTCAGCGTGGGTTGCTAATTATTTCAGGCAATTTCTTGAAAATTATTAAAATGTATTTAACACATATTGTGTTTTTGATATCTTCCCCAACCCCCCACCCCCAGTACATGAAGGTAACCCACTTTTAGCCATTACACCATGTTGAGCGTTTGACTACAAAATGCATAGTCACACTTCACAGTACATCATGTGAAGGCAGCCTACAAAAAATATATCAAATGTTATTATTTTATTAAGTTAGATTGAAAATGATTACCCTCTTCTCAGTGGCAATGCAAAGCCTGGAAATCCCACGTGTTTGCCTGCTAGGCCCAACAAGTCATTGTTTGAAAACCAAACCAAGGCTCAGCTGTTTCCAGATTGTATGCAGTGGCACCAATCCAGGTATTCTGCAATATTTGCATGCTCAAACTGCACAGCCTTATGATTGCCACACCCAGAGCAGAAGAATAAAGTTCCAGGGTTTTAAATGTGCATGCCTATCTTGCATTTCATATCATCAGCTGTTTCTTCCTTTGGTAATGCCTGGCTGCTAATCCAGTCCCAAGTATTCATAGTTGCACCATTAACCCATTCAATGAAAAACATCAAGTGGAATACAATTCAGTGGAGTTCAAAAGGATACCCATAAATTGACAAACATCTAAAGAGGTAAACCACATCTTACAAACATTCAAAGAATCTGCAATATTCAAGGTCGTGACGTAACTAACAGCAACACAAATAGAAAGAGTTCTCACATCTCTGTTGCTTCAGGATTCACTTTGCATTTATCTTTATTTGATGTCAAAATGGATCATTGTGTGACATGTTTGACTGTCTAATGTGATTACTTCCTAATTCCTCAAGAGGTTCCAGTGGCTTTGTGTTTATCCCAACATTATACCTAGCAGTCTAATCACTTTAATTTTTTCCCCAAATGTTTGTTATTTGACAACATGTAGAATTCTTCAAATGGCTAACATAAATATTATTGCCAAATTATTTACACTTTCTTGCTACTTTTATCACCCGCCTGTTCTGTGTGGTTTTATTTCTGTGGTTTTCTGAATAAACGATCTCCCTTCCAAGTAATTTCCTGTTTACTAATTGTTGATTTACGATAGTTGGCGATTATCACTTGTTTGTCCTTTACAAGAACTGGATGCAACAACAACAATAAAATTACATTTGTATAGCGGCTTTCACAAGTGGAAGGACTGGGAAACAACATTTACACTGTTCTGTTAATAGCACTTATTTGTAAATGATTAAGATGAACAGACATCAAAATTGCATTCAAGCCATCATTGACAAGTAGATTGAAGGAGTAGTTCTGGTGCATGTGTTTTAGTGGTCGTCTAACTGGTTACAATTTCTGCCCACATCCAAGCAATTACTCAAGGATTCAAACGCACATTTAACAGCATATGCAGCAATACACTAGCACATTGCTGAATAAACCAGGTAATAGGCCAAAACCCAAACATACGTTTCAGAGATTATTCTGCATTTCACTGAAACTATTTTTTTTAAAAAAGCAGAACAGAGTGATTATTGCAATTACAGGCAATTCTGCATCCAATTGTTTGGTTACAAATATATTGTTAGGTATGCTTACTTTGTCACACTTTTATTGTCTTAATCAGCACAACTGCATTGGTTTCCTCTTCTGCTTTTCTCTCTTACCCTGAAGGTGTGACTGACTCATGCTGTGGTTTCCAGAGCTGCCTGCATATACCCCTCGGATGCCTTACCCGAGTGGGTGATCATTCTTCCTGTTCGAGCCTGGACATGGAGTGTGGTCTTTTAACGTTCTAACCCTGGCAGTCAAGCTGAATCTTTACTTTGCACAACATGCATTGCCTGTAATTGCTGGGCTGAAGTATGAACCCTGGCTGAGTTATCTCTTTCTAGCCAAAGATGCTGAGACTAAACTGGAGAACTTTCATCATCAACTTGCCTAACTCGGTCCAGTTGCAAGTTATTTTGTTGTTAAGTTCAAGGTTGGGATGAACTGGAGTACATTTCTAAGCAGGAACGATGGAGTAGAGGTAGGAGAGGCAAAGGACAGGATAAGTTTGAAGACGCATCTCTTAAGACAAAAGGGATACAAACTGGGACCAGAGGTTGTATTCTTGTTCTGGGAGTTGAGGCCCAAACAGATGTGGAGAGGATAAAGGTGTGATCTCAGTGATAATGGCAGAAGGGAATGGAGCAGGAGGGGGGGAGAAAACACATCAAATGCAAGGATTATTATTTAGTTGCTTTGTCACGATGATGGCGATTAACAACGGAAGGAGAAACTGAGCCACAAAATTCAAATCTCTTGTCAGGGGGGCTGGTGAATGGACCACGTGACATCATTCCAGCTAGATTGTGCAAGTACCAATAGTGGGCTATTTTAGTACATCATCAACAACAACTTATATAGCACCCCTCAAGCAGGGTAGAATCACAGAACGCTTGACAGTGGCGGAGCACGACTCCGAGCTGGGGAGAGGTTGACCATAGGCACGGCCAATACTATATATAGTATATTTATATACACATATATGTATATTCTATATACTGTATGTAGTTTTAAATTAAAAACCAACGAGAATATTAGTCAGATTGCCTTACAAACATGCCGTCTCTGCAACAGTAGTGGTTGGATTTTCTTATTACTTTCCGTGCTAAGAATTACATCTCATCTAAAACTTTTTTTTTAAAAAAAATATCTGAAAAGCGATCCCTGTGCTGTATTTTCCTGCAATGTCTTTTTGGAAAAAAAAATAGGGTTTTGGTAAACCAATCCTGCCCAAACCTCCACTGGCGCACAGTATCATTAAAATCAACACATTGAACAGGTGCTGCCGTTTCGAGCACCAGTCAGCCCTTCAAGGCTGTGATCTTCCGTTCCTGTCCAATCACTGCATGCTCGCTACACCATGGCCATACATGGTTCTGTTGTTTGGTGCCGTGAAGGTCATGTAGTGTGACCCCCGGCTAGTCCTCACTGCCAGCTCAGATGGTTCCCAGCACTGATACCAGCAAGGCAAATATTCACTCTCCACTGGGAAAATGCTCAGCAGACAGGCTTTTACTACTGTTTCTGGAAGGCTTTGCTCGATAGGATTCTGGAGGGGCTGCTGTCATCACAAGGGAGTTTTGAGCAACAGCACTCCATTAAAAGATAACGCAATATCAAGCGTTTTTTCTGACATCCTAGGCTTGTCACCTTATCACTAAATTTTGAGCTGTTACTTTCAGCCCCAAAGCCCTGAAATTATTTTGTTTTTTTTATCATTAGGCAGTTACACACCAGCAAGAGTCTTGTTCTGTGCACAGTGGTACATCTGGAAGGTTATAATCTGTTAACAAGGCCCAGTGGGTGCTGTGGAAGAGATACAAACCTCCATTTTCTCAAAGGCTACATTTTCACTTTGATAAGATGTGTTCTTGCTTAAAAAGAACACAGGCAGGTATTAGCAGCATTGACTTCTGCAGCCAGCCGAGTAATATACAAAGGGGAAAAGAATCTAGACAGATGATAATGTATTAAAACCCCAGCAATGTGTACACCAAATGGTACATTTTGCAGCAAAATAAAGATAGATTTAATCTTACAGCTTCTCTCAATACATTTTTTCTCCTGTAGTTTCAGCAAGTTGGAGCTAATCAGAATTTTACTGGTTTAACAGATAGCAACAGCTAATGGAACAGATAGTGCGCAAATGGAAACAAGCTCCACATCACTCATTCCAGGTCTTCTCTACATCACCATTGTGCAAATAAAAGCCATAGTAACTTCTGACTAGATTCTACTGCTGGAAGCTTCATGATATTGTTTTCTGAAGTGATACGAGCTGTATTTTGCATTAGTCAAGCTGCAAGGAAAGTTCTGCACACTCGCAAATGATTTAGGTCCACCCATATACTGTAAATATTTTGAAGGTCATCTTTTTAAGTCGTCTCTTTTTTCTGGTGAATGCGACTAAAGGAGCAAGAAACAGAGCAGAACTTGCCAATTGATTTCAGGATTTAACGTCAACCAGAAAAGGCAGACGGGGTATTGATTTAACACGTCATCCTGCATGCATAAGGGTAGATGTGCAAGGTAAAACATTGTTTATAAGTATGTGCCTGTTTG